AATGATTGTCAGGGTCAATCAGACTTTTTTTTCCTTCACGTTCCCCAGTGGAACATAGGGCTTCAAGCTAGCGGCTTGAAGTTTCTGTAGCAGTGTTTATTTTACAGGATGGGGTTGCTAGCCTCATGCCCGACCTTCCCTCTTTACCAGTTCTTTTACTGGCTTAGCGAGGTAAAGGAGTGCGTCGGTCGGGGATCGAACCCTGGACCATGTGCATGGTCGGCGAGCGTCCTAACCGCTATGCCACCGACGCACCAAATCAGACTAGTGGAGCACAAAAGCCTAGCAAAATCTAGATTAGTTGACCCGAATAAGATAAGAAATCTGGAGAATAGTTCAGCTAAAGGACTGCATGCAATTACACACACAAACATACAATAGGATGAGATAAGAAGACAGTTTTAAAATCTAATATAACAAGGTGGGGTAGAGGGAGAGATTGATAGGATAGCGGAAGGTTTATTTCTCGAATCAGCTGCAAATACTTGTTTGTAAGAGAAATGATTCAACACCTGTCCACCCACCTGGACATCTGGAAAATTCTACTACCCATATGACGAATAGTCCGGAATAAAGAAAACTATAAGAGAAGTTTCGAAGTTGATAATATATAAGGATGAACAATAATGAATTGTGTTCGAAACTTTGTCATCATCCAGTAGGTTATATCCAATAAACAAATTAATATGGGATTTCTCACTTGTTTGTTGTCGTTCCTCACTGTCTGTCTGTCTGTTGTGTGTGTATTTGTCCAGAAATAGATAACATAAAGTTGCTTTCCTTAAGTCTAAATCGTTATTTAAAAAGTCTGCGTGTCCCTTTAAATACGTGTTTTTAACAAATTGTTCAATATTCAATGTCTAATTTTCAACTAAGTTATATATATATATATTCTTTAACTTCGCTCTAATCGTCCTAACACGTGGGTTTGTACGAGTGGTGTGTGTGTGTATGATATCTGAGACAAGCTTAAGCACATGATTTTCAGTCACTGAGCCTGAGGTTAGAATCTCCGCACCTTTGCCTATTTTAGCCTTCTAACCTGGGTAATATAATCAGCTGTCGCACACACACTCACACATACATATATACACAATATTTATGGCTCACAGTTCGAACTCCAACCCAGTAATCTATGAGACAGTGAATCTCTTTTCTCCCTTCAACATTAATCTTTAATGTATTGTGTACATCATATTAAACTTTTCTTAATCATGATTTCTTTTGTGGCATAGTAGTGAAGACGGAGACTGGATTTGTGTTATTTCTAGGTCAATTTTCATTTCCCATTAAGTGAATAATTTGGTCCAAAATACTGGGTCTCTCTTGATATGTGTCAGCTTCTAGTGCGGATGCTTTTGACAATGTCTCGGGATGAACAAAATGATGTTATTTTCGGTTGTCTGTGATTGATGGTGGTGGAATCCAGGATGTATGTGCATTTCGTCCTATTTGGGACTCGTCCACTGGGTGTGTACTTGCATTTCTGGTGAGTAATGATGGTGTCCTCATTGAGAGTCGAACCCCCAGTAGGTGGTACACCCAGCTGACGAGTTCCATGTGAGATGAAATATGCATCTTGGATTCCACTGTTAACCAACCAAAATTAAAATGAGAAGTTGAGCAAAGTATTTCAAAGCAAACAGTGACCTCAATAATGTTCCTAAACAGCTGTACAGATGCAATAGTTCCTCGAATGCAAAACAAGTACTAATGCAAGGGAATTGCTGAACCAAAGGCAACCGTATGAAGTACCTGAGAATCAAGTAGAATATTCCCAACTAGGCGTGGGATTAAAACTCTGTCCACAAAACTCATACACCAATACTTCCCACAGACAGTCTAAGGTCAGAATGACCTTGACTCACTTGAACAGAATCAGTCATAAAACAACACATTATCATTATCATCATCACTCAACCCCAAAAGAGAAGCAATAAAATTAGAGATTAAACCGGAACAATGAGAAATAATAAGGATTAAGTCAACAAATGGTATGCAAATGTTGAAACAACGATATACAGTCTAGGAGAAAAGAGGATGTCTGAATAAGTAGCTCCAATGTAAAGTCAGTGCTACTACACGGATCAGAGACTTGGCGTGTCATAAAGAGCATCTCAAACAAACTACAGACCTTCATTAACAGTTGTCTTCGCTCAATACTCAAGATCAGATGGCCGGTCAGAGTTGATCAGCAACAGAGATCTCTGGGAGCGAACCAACCCAGCAGGAACCGATTGTGCAACAAATAGGCAGGAAGAAATGGAGATGGATTGGCCATACTCTGAGGAAACCATCAAGTGACATCACTAGACAAGCCATCGCTCGAGTGGAACCCGAAAGGGAAGCGGTGAGTTGGTCGTCCAAGGGTGACTTGGAGGAGGTCATGTGAAGAGGAGATGAAAACGTGTGGGCAGACATGGAGCCAGGTGAAGACTCTAGCAGAGAACCGAACGCAATGGAGACGTGTGGCTGAAGCCCTATGTTCTGATAGGAATTAAAGGAAACAATAATATAATAATAATAAATAAGTAGCATTATCGTAGATAGATAGTTCGAGAGGGATTTTCTAAACACGTTACGAGTGGTACATGGGGTTTCAATAGCATGTCTCCAATTTTTCGTTTTCTCTGCCAACCCCTATAGCTAGCTCCATGACTGCCTCCCTCGGATGCCCCACGCCCAACTCCTCGTTTCTCATTCGGGTTTCACTCCAATGATGGCTGGCCTGGTGCGGTCTCCTCACAGTGTGTCCTCCGATCCATCTCCATTTTCCTCCGAAGTATTTATTGAGCAAATGGTTCTTGGTTGGTTTGTGACTAGCCAGAAATTCTTGTTGCTAATTGTTTCCAGCCGGGCCGGCCATCTAATCTTCAGTATGGAACCGGTGAACGCGGCAGCCAGCTGTTGATGAAATTCGGCAGTTGGCTGCTGTTAGATATACGTTTTGTGACACACGTGGAAGCGTCGACTGACTTAATATTGCTGTTGAAAAAGAAACAATTATTCCCTTTATAATATTAAACAGTGCCTTTTTTCTCTCTTCCTCGCTTCATTTCCATCTGAAAGAAATTCCTCCATCAGAGGAGGAAGAGGCTAACAACGAACTCTCTATGCTTTCTTGTTTATCAAACATTACAGCCTCATTGTGTCACACCATTTCTATGTGGATGGAAGGTTTTTACTCTTATAGTCATTGTGACATTTCAAAGTGAATTTATTTTTAACTATGCGTACTTTTTTTCCTTTCTAAAATGAAAACCTTCCTAAAAATGTTTGTGATGACTACTTTACAAATTTTTGTTTGCAGTTTTTTTTGTTGTTATTGTAACAAAATGCCTCTGCTAAACTTCTTTTGTATTGATCAGAATAGAAAAATAGACATTGGATATATATATATCCCATGAGAAACACATACATAGAGATGACATTTGTGTTGTGGATCAATCCATGCTGATTGTTTTGTTGCTTAGCTTTAAAACGACGTCACTAATATTTAGCCTCTCCGGATGGGTTGAAGATGTGTGCCAACCCGGCTTCATTCTACTATCTCTGTCTCTGTAGTATTGCTTCCGTTTGATGGCATCATGCTTTTGAGTAATTTCAAGATTTAGCAGCTTGTTTAGTTGAATTTGAGATTTTCCCGTCGATTATTGATTGAACCGAAGTGCTCAGTCTCAGGTTGGCATGTCGGTCCAGTCGACAGGAAAATCTCAAATTCAATTAAATAATTAATATGACCCGTTGCACAAGAGACAGTGGCTCTCGTGGCCCAAGTGGTCTAGTGGATAGCGCTTTGGCGTTTGAAACTAAGGGCACTGGGTTCGAGCCTCGGTGGGAACATCATCACTCACTGGGAAATGCAGGTACATCCAGCTGGAAGACGAGTCCCAAATAGGACGAAATGCGCGTTATCCTGGATTCCACTGCTAGTCACCATCCGCAAATTTAGCAGCTTGTGTTTAGACACAGTGGAGACCACCATTCATTCATTGAGTGTCGTCATCTGGAAACACCGGCTTTGTTGGTTTGGAAATGCATATGCTACTAATATCATCAGAGGTTTCCTACCGTCTCTGTTCGTTAGTCCTGGGACGACGGGATGGAAAAAGGGGAGAGGTAGTCAGCCTACAACATGGCGCCATGGGATGAAAGATATATGTGTTAGATTAACAACACCAGTTGGTGCTACATCACGACTACCTTATATGGATCAGAAAGATACTTCGAGTCGGTGGCTTTTAGTAGATATGGTCAAGAATCGCAATCATCAACGGCGAACACGTGGCAATCTTCTTCTTTCTTCCCTTTCTGACAATAATTCGACGAATTCTGTTTGATCTTGTTCAGTATAGCTGCTCCCTTTCCGGATGAAATCCTTTATTCATTCTCTACCCATTTCTTTTTCATATGTTGTCGTTTTATTATATTATTGTGTGGCGGCGCATCTTCTTGATGCCTATATTGTACCAGTTTTTGTGTCTTGAATAGATAATAAATATCTGTAATGTTGTGTCAGTGGTCCAATAGTAAACTGCTTGCAAACCAATCATGTGGGAGGCTCGGGATCCGACTCCTGGCAGCCGATTCCCACACCTTAAACCTAGCCTAGCTAGCTTGACGGTTATGCTAGGCCTGGAAAGGGACGGAAGGTAGGTTGGGCGTAAGGCTAGTAACCGCTCCCCCTCCCTCGACCTCCACCTCGTACATAAAAGCAACACCATCACCGGTAGAACTTTAGTACCTACAATTTGAAGCCCCATGATTTGCTTTCTGAACGTTAAGGAATGGAGATAACCGACACACACACACACACACACACACACTGAGTAGCCGTCAGATATTTTTTTATTTCGGCATTGAATATTTGTGTATTTTGACTCCAGATATGACTGTAAAATTTGGTATTTCTAATGTATCCGTTGTATACAGCGTCTTGAATGCTTTTAAAATATGCGATTGTAAACAAACAACTTTTACACTCTCTTCCTGTCTACTAGGTACTCATGTTATGGAAGGATCAGGTAAAATGGTTGTCACTGCTGTTGGACCAAATTCTCAAGCTGGTATCATTTTTGCTCTGTTATCCTCTGGAGCTGGACATGATGACGCTGTTTCAGGTACTGATGGTGGTCAAGAGAATAAAAAAGACGCGAAAAGTGAGTATACCCTCCTCCCCCCGCCCATTATTGTTTGCTTAAACTTTCTAAATTCAAATCCATTAACCATTTTTAATTTTTAGATGTTATCTAGAACTTCTTGATCGATGATCTCATATGAAGTTGACTTTTAACTAAAGTCGATTGCACTGACTGTCTGACTGGTTTCAAAATAGAACTTTGCACCTATGTGCAGCAGTTCGAGTCGCTACACTTCACTTAGCACACAAAAAGCAAGAGAAGAGAGTAAAGGGAGATTTTAAAAGAGAGAGATAATAAATAGAAGTGGGAGGGAAAAAGGACAGTTATATGGAAGAATTATAGAGTTTTATTGGAGTGAATGCATCTGCGCCATCATCGAGAACGATGATTGTGAGACATATCACCGATTGTCTCCAGCCTTCAACCCCAACCAGTCAGGAAGTCTACACCTCCCTACGTGGTTGGCTTAAACTAACTGTTGTGGATTTTGTTGACTTTCAAGGCCATGATTTTGTTTGACCACCACTAGCTTTCTCTTTTCCAACCTGATCAATCCTCTGTCAGCTAACATTGCCCGCTATCGAGGAAGGCGATCGATGGCTAGGCATACGTAACACATGTCCTAGCTATCTCAATCGATGTAACTTCACAATCTCGCCGATTGATTTCCCCTAGCACTGGACGCCTAACCTCAATATTACTCACCTAATTATACCACTTAACACGGGAGATAGAACACAGACACCTATGACCGAAGACAGCGATCCGGCCGTTTCATGTCTTCCACTTTCAATGATCAGGTTTCACAGCTAGTCGATAGCCAGTCGGATGTCACGTCTACGCCAGCGATGGCGTAAGTTGTTTGACAAATGCTACACGAGCCTTTTGTAACCATACTGAGATTTCGTCAGCGATCAACTCGCTGGGCTGGCTGATTCAACTTCCTGAATAAGTGAAGTGGTCAACATGCTCTGCCATTGCACACTCCGTCGACTGCACTAGTTCAGACACATATTCACACACACGCATCTTACTTATATGGCATCATATTTCTTTGCTCGCTCCAGTTCTTTTTTCATATTTTGATGTCATTTTTTCAGTCTGTGATACTATGATTACATATGTATTGTCTGTTTGACTTCCTGCCTGATTGCCGCATCCTTTTTTGTTGGTTTTTGAGGTGTGTAAATATATATGTGAGATGTATGGAGGTCGGTGAATCTCAACCAACTAACAACTTTCCAGTAAACCTAGAGAGAGCCTATAGCGTCTGTATGTATGTATGTCTTTGTATGTGTGATAAAAAGGTGTCTGTCGTAAATCAGTTGAAATCGGAGATTTTCAGTTTGTCTATGTCAAATATTTACGTAAAATAAATGCGACAGAGACTTCTTAGAGCATTTTTACACTCCTCTTTTTTCTCTCTGCCGCTTCCTCCTCCCGTAATATGCTTGTTTACACAAGGAAATAGTGAAAATTTGGTAATATGAGGGGACTGTAATTTGTCTAAAATAGGATTATTAATGTCAGCGAAAAACAGCAACAGTTGACTCTTACTGCTGCTTCCCTTCTCTCCACTGTTCAGGCTGTTGAAATAAGAAAGTAATTTCAGAATACACCTGTGATCGTAGCGACTTCAATGTAGAACTTTGCATAGAAGTCCATACCATACTCCATGTACCACACAAAGGAAGACAAATGAGAGAGAGGAGAAAAGAGATTCGAAAGAACGATGATAAGCAGAAATGTGGAGAAGGAGGAAGAATAGTAACACGAAAAAGCAGTTGTCTCCCTCCAGCCATTGGTTCCGATCATCCCCACGACCCCAATCAGGAAGGAAGTCTACACCTCCCTAAGTGGCTAGCTCAATGTTAGCTGGAAAAGATTTCATGGACTTATTCCATTTGACCACCACCACCACTCCCTATTTTCCAACCTGATCCATCCTATGTCAGATAACATTTCCCATAGATGAAGGCAATGGCTAGGCATGCATGACTCATATTCTAGACATCTCAATCGATATAGCTTCCCAACCTACCTCAACGATTGACTTTCCCTCCTCCTTACATAACACTCGACTCCTAACCTCATTATTACTCACGCTACTATTATACCGTCTAACAAGGAAGACAAAACACTGACATCTATGATCAAAGACAGCTAGCCAGGCTTTCCATGTCTTCCACTTTCAATGGCCATATCTCACAGCTATAAAGGAGGACGGAGCAAACTGCAGAGTAGTGCAGTACACACTTCTTTTGATCGACAGCCTGGCAGGTATTACGTCTACAAAGCCAGAGACGGTTTAAGTTGTCGGAGAAATGCTGCTTGAGCCTTTTGTTCCCATTTTGAGATTTCGTCATATATCAATCCGTTGGGGCTGATTTTTGACTTTCCAACTAATTGAAGTGGTCAACACGCTCTACCACTTCATTCCTGCTTATCTTTAAGCTAGAAGTCGATGTAGTCCAGTCCTGTAGCAAGTATTATCTCACATTTGACAGTAGTAAGTCGCTAAACATTTACCCTTGGTCCATCCAAATCTCCTGTCAGTTTAGATTGTTCGACGTGAAAGCGGTAACAGTAAAGAACAGACACCACAGTCAAATGACCTTGAATCAACCAATCAGATCACTCAGCATTACAAATGCATGCTTTCCATAATCTTCATTGGAAGTTTCACTGTAACCCTAATCTTCCATGCAACTTTCACTGTAACCTTAATCATAATCCAACCCTAACCTTAACCCTGAATCAGGATAAAACTTGCAACGAAAATTATGAAAAGCATTCATTTGTAATGTTGGGCAATCTGATTGGTTGGTTCAAGGTCATTTGATATTGACATCTATTCTTTACTGTTGCTGTGATAGCTGGTGGCTTGGCATACAGTATGAATCGATACATCTTTATGAACTCATAGATAGAACTAGAGAAGTATGAAAAGATTTTAAGTTTTCTGAACAGTTGTTTCCTTTTGATTTCCTAGTTCTCATCAGTACTCTCCCTGTCTCTTTCTCTCACAAACACAAACCTTGTTACCTTTCGATCATCCAATTTCTGACGGTCGATTTTATTACTTGAGCATAAAATTGATCTTTAAGTCAATAATTGTCAATCGAATCTTTCTTTATTGAAAATTTTGAAATGCTGACAAGTTTGATATGTGTGTTTAGCTCATACAACTTTGCACGAGATTGTCTATAGTCTATAGCTGCAAATGGGGGTGAGATGCGAAAAACTTCGAGCCATAATCAATGTCCACGTCTTAGCAGAATGCTGAAGATAGGGAGACAAGTCTTTGCTCTTTCTTTTACAGGATGCAGTTGTTAGCCTCATGCCCAATTTTTCCTCTTTTACAATTTCATTGTCGGTTAGTAAAATTGGTAAGGTTTGATTGGAAGTGCTTCAACTTGGGATCGTAACTTGGACTTTCGACATGATTGATTGGTTGGTTAGTCTACACTGAAACTACCAACATCGAATATTTATCAAAACTAACAGTAATAAAGATATAGAATTATGGAAAATGTTCATTAGAATATTAGAGAGAGATAGAGAAAATGAACAAGAATTTCAGCAAACATATATCTACCTTTTCAACTGCTCTGCAGCCAGCCGTTACTTGCAGAGATTGATGAGTCCTCCCTATGTATGTGTGTCCACACGTACATTCAAATTCGTAAATACATTGGGATGTGACATCATTTTTCGCATGTTCAAAGGGCTTCACATTCTCAATTATTATGATATTAGCTGCATAAGAAGTCTTTTTAACAGCAGCGTTCAATCTTTGTCTAGTTATCAAGCAGCTATGATGCCCCATATAGGGTAGCTCGATGTACACGTCTTTCTTGTGGGCGAGTTGTAGAGTGGGTCTTGGTGTTCTGACTACTTTATATCTCCTGATGAACTTGTCTGGATAATTGTTATCAACCAGAGTTTGTGTCAACTTTCTTTCTTTCTCATCAAGTGTGTCTTCAGTACATATTCGTTGGATTCTACTGAAGAGACACCTCACTCACTAAGGCTCTTTTGTACTGAACAGGGCAGAAACTGTGGTAATTAAGATACTGTCCTGTCCAGGTAGGTAAGTTTTCTATAAATAGATCGTTTTATTGATCCATCTGGCCGTTGACTAAGCAATCTATCTAGGAAAGATAAACAATTATCTTCTTCTTCTACAGACGTAAGTGATATGCTATTCTGAACTTCATTCATTCGATTTAAAATTGAGTTGGCAGAACAAGACTTTTCACTGATGATTATAATATCATCTACATATCTTCTACAAAGTGGTACCTTTTTCGATTAAATCCTCCGATAAATTTTCAATGTACGACGTATAAATATCTGCTAAAAAGGAGCCCTAACGGACTTCCAATAGCAACATCATCTACTTGACGGAAACAATCGCCTTCAAATGTGAATCTAACATTGCTAGTACATAGAAGTAATGAATATGATATAAGGAACGGGATGAAAAAGTTATGTGTGGCAATGTAATCACACAAAATGTCAATAGTTTTAAGTAAAGGCACATTAGTGAATAAAGAGTTTGCATAAAAAGAACACCACCTTTTTATTCATAATATTAATACTTTTGAAAGATTATTAAATGAGTGAAGTGGCATAAGGCGTTTCAAAAGGTGTTGAAGTGTTGTTGTACGATGATGATGATAACAATAAAGAAGGCGGCGAAAATGAAAGAGAATTGAAGCGAATTCAAGTGGTAAAATAGAATAAAGTAAAGAAAAAAAGCAGCATTATTATGAATCAAGTTAAAGAAAGAAGGTTTAACAAAACGTTTTGCTTTTCTTTCGGATACATAGTTAAGCTTTTTGTCCAAAAGCTTCGATTATACATAAGTGGAGAAAACGTTAACTTCTAAAGTGGCTGAATTTAGCCCTGTAGATAATCATAGAGGATAAATCCCTCTTGGGACTGGTTGAATGTCCTGATTCAAGAAGGTGTTCACAAAAAGAAGACTTTGTCATCCTATCTTCACCTTTCATCGACCAAACGGGGAGGGGGGGATTGGCGTTCAGCTATGTATGCATTTCCGGAGAGTATAGATGCACACAGAGTAACTCATCGAAGAAGACATTGCTAAGTGGTCGCACTATGTCGTGAATTGGCAGAAGTTATAATTATTGGGATGGCCATTGGATGGGCGGGTCGCAGTGGCTTAATGGTCTACGAGTTAGCTTGCCTTGTAACCAGAAGTTCTTGGGTTCGAACCTCCTGTGGTGTCCCAAACTAGTGGGACGAAACAGCTGTTCAGCATTCCAGTGCAGGTTTTCCAATGGTCCTCTAACTGATGTCAGCCGATGATGAAATCCTCCAACCAATCAAACAACCCCCCCCTACAAATACCAATACTTGAAAAACAAAAGAAATGAACATTATCTTATGAACCGGAAAGTTCAACAGTCAAGACTGTTGTGCTGAGCTGAGTCGAATTGAGTACACTGCTAATGAGCTTGGCTATGGGGTGTTTAGATTGCTTCAATCTGACTAGGAGGCAGTGACAACTGGTTTATGTGAATGGTGTGCAAACTACTCATCCAAATTAATCAGTAGTATACATACATACATGAAAATTAATTTATTTATTTTCCTCTTTCTTTTGTCAAAACACAACATTTTAGACAAGAATAAGAAAAATGCTAAAAGTGATAAGAATGTCTCAAATTCAGATGCTTATCAAATGAAGTCGAAGGCAGCAAATCAAAATGATGCTGAAGCGAATAAACCGAAGCCGAAGAAAAAACCACGTCGTAAAGAACAATCTGTTCTACAGGCAAAATTAACTAAACTTGCTATACAAATTGGATATGTTGGTAAGCGTTAGTTAGTTTTTTTGTTGTTGTCTGTTTGCGTTTTCCCCCTTATAGTGTATCATGCTTTACAGGATTAATTCCCCACGCCACCTCCCCTCCCAGTAATGTTGGAAGTTATGGAGTACTGTTTCATTGTTGCATGTGGAACTAACTCATCAACAGTACTAGTACACTTCCTGCATTCTTTTTTTTTCTGTTAAAGTAAAGTTTGATTAAAATTCAATGAAATTTGAGAATTTTTAGATGTTTTTTATTGTTACTTGAAAGATGAAACTTTCTCTTTCGTTGATTCGATTATATTTTATTCCCTTGTGTTCTAAGTGGAACATAAAACGTCAACAGTGCATCTCCACCTTGTCCTGTTCACTTCAGCCCTCTTTAGCTGCCTGCCTCCACGATTTCCTATAGGCTGTTATCTCCTCTTCATGCTACTTCCTCCATGTCAGTCTTTAGACCAACGCAGAAATCGTCGTTTCCAACTCGGATTCCAGTCAAGCAATGACTTCTGATGCGCGAAATCATCCAACGATCTCCTCAGTGTGTCCGTCCGATCCATCTCCATTTTCTTCAGCATATGTTTGTTGAGCAGTAGGCCCTTGATTTGTTCACTGCCAGCCAGAGTTTCTTGTTGCTAATTCTTTCTAGATAGCTAGCTAGCCATCTGATCTTCGGTATGGAGTCGGTTGAGTCATCTGTTGATAAACGTCTGTAGGTAGCTGCTCTTCGTGGCGCGCGCTTTCCAAGTTTCTGACCCATAAAGAATAAGTGACTTAACGCTGGTGTAGAAAATTTGAGCAAATTTTGTTGTTTATGCTGAGTGCAGTAGATTTCTGAATTGATTTCAGAATGTTGAAGGTTTGTCTTGCCTTTCTCATCCTCGTTTTGACGCCCCCATCCATCCTGTCGCCAGTAGTTGAAACGATGGTGCCCGGATCAGTGAAGGACCTGACTTTTTTCAAATTTATTCCGTTGATATACATATATATACCTTTTCATCAAAATACACTGTCTGCCTGTCTGTCTCTATTAGACATAGAACTTTGCACCAATGTGCGGCAGTTCAAGTCGCCACACTCCCTTCTTGTAGCACACAAAGCAAGAGAAACAAGTAGAAGAAATGCATATTAGAGATAGTAAACAGAGGTGTGAGACAAAGGAATAGCAATAACGAAGAACAAAACAGTTTCATTGGAAATCATAAGTCACAAGGAGCGGATGTATCTGCGCCGTTGAGAACGATTTTGAGCCATATCACCAATTGTTTCCAACCATTGGTTCTTACCGTCCCGAGGACCCCAACCAGGAAGTCTACACCTTCCTGCGTGGCTGGCTTAAACTAACTGTTGTAGATTTCATTGACTGGTGCCATGTTTTCGTTTGACCGCCGCTAGCTCCTTTCCAGCCTGACGCTGTGTCAGCTAACATTGCCTGTTGTCGAGGAAGGCGATGACTAGGCATACGTAACACATGTCCTAACTATCTCGGTCGATGTGGCTTCACAGCCGTGTCGATTGATTTCCGCTAGCACTCGACGCCTAACCTCAATATTGCTCACCTTATTATACCACTTCACACGGGAGATAGAACGCAGACACCTATGATCAAAATACACTAATTCCAAGTGTCTTGTCATAGAGTATACAAATGGAGACAAGATACACAGATGAAGTGAAACTTTTCTACTGGCCTCTTTTCACCGAAAGAGGTGTACTTCATGAAGTGTTGTTTTCAGTCCGTCTTCAAGCAGTTTCTGTATACATGTACTCGCATCATATAAATAGATCTTATTAGTCGCAGAAATAAAACTTTCAGTCACTAATGCTGTTTTAGTCGCATAACATCTTTGGAATAATAGGCCATCTGATCAATTCACAGTTTCCTGCACTCTTGTCGATAGAATATTGCACAATTTTATTAAAACTTACGTCCATTTAAACATTTTACGGTTGAAATTTCTATGACAGAAAGCTCTGACTTCGCTACAACAAGCTGACATGACAACTTTCCATTGATAAACAGTGGCTAAGGTCCCTTCAATTTACATCTAAGGTTTTGGTAATAAAATTGTTTAGAAGGGGTATATATATATATACATTGTGGCGTGTGCCACCGACAGCGACACCAGTTGTAATGGTAGAAGGCGAAAGATTTGGCAAAGGAATGCTTATTTGCAATTTTGGTATCTCTATGAAGCGGAATTATGTACACCTTATCTTCAACGCACCATTTGCACAGATCTTTCGTGTTTTGCTACTTCTGGCCTTCCTTCATCATATTGTGTGTCTTTGTGTTCCTTTCACTCATGTCTCCCATGTATCTGCGCAACGCTGTATCATTTTTTATTTCTCTGAAATCAAATCTATCTCCCTGCTATTTGATGTTTTTATGCCGATAAACATCTCTTTATGTATACACACTACTGATAAATCTTATCAGTAGCACTCGCCACTTAACAGATAATTATTAATGACCATGTGTATAGGACTATGAAGTACATACACTCTTATGGTCTAACCCAACCGTCTACATTAATGTGATTGAAGTGGGCTTCAAAAATGATCAAAACGAAACGAGTTCTGATAGAAAAGAACTCAAAAGGGTTATATTTTAAGGGGAATTAATCACATATACAGGCCTTATGTGATATATAGCTGATAGTCCTCTGGACGCCCAGATCCAGTGATCCTAGGTTGAGTCTTCGGTAAGGCCTAGATCCATACACTCTGACTAATTTTCATTCCATCACCGAAGTGAAGGAGTCTGGTGACCGACTGGGAATACCGTGGGGTTGGTGGCTTTTGTGAATCAGTGGTTCAGTGTTCATGAACCACACATACATACACACATACATTTGATCCGGGTTCAGTTCCCAAGCCGACTGACGCACACTCCTAAACTTCCTTTAGACTGCAGTCAACTCAGTACACTGAGAAGGTTGGACGTGACGCTAGGAATCCTATCTCTATTTCTAGTGGGTAGCCGTGACCAGTAAGGTATAGCATGTTGAAGGTGAGGCAGTAACTCATCGAAGAAGGCATTGCGAAATGGTCGCACTATGTCGTGAATTGGCAGAAGTTACAATTCAAATACCATTGGATCGGGTCCCAGTGGCTCAATGATCTATGAGATCGCTAGCATTGTAACCAGAAGGTCCTGGGTTCGAACCTCCTGCGGTGGGTGCGTACTGATGAAGAGTCCCGAACTAAGACGAAAAAGCTGTCCAGTACTCCCAGTTGGTTTTCCAGTGGTTCTCTAACTGATGTCAGCTCATGATGAAATCCTCCATGTTATTCTGTCTTGTCACTATAGAGCACGATTTAAGCAAATACGTAGTTTCGGTAAACTCTCATCAAGCTTTACATTTACATAATGAAATATTAGTCATAGTTATTTGAATTAATGTGGTTAGTTTTCAAAAGTTGATTTGTAAGGATTAGATGTGTTCTTCTTTCGAGTTCGACCACGGATTGATATCAGTTAGAGAGAACCATTGAAAACCAGCACTGGAGTACTGCAAGACAGCTGTTTCATCAGTCTAGTGTGGGGATCATCGGCAGTACGCACCCACCACAGGAGGTTTGAACCCAGGACCTTCCAGTTACAAAGCAAGCTGGTTCGTATACCATTCAGCCACTGGGACGCCATTCAGTGGCCAACCTCAGGAATTCTAACTTCTACCAATTGGTGAGTTTAATGCGAACACCAACCATTGTCATCCGCGGGAAATCCATCCTCACTCCTGACTGGATGGACCTCACTGGCCACGATTTCTGACTAGAACTCCAGATAAAATATAGGATCAGAGGTGTGAATTAATAGAAAACAATCGAGGTGATCATAATAGTAATGATAATAACAAGGATAAATTCATTGAAGAGTATATGTAATCTAGGTAATGGTGGGTGTATAGGTAGAATGCGTATACTATTGGAGGGTGGAGGGGAAAATAACTATTTTCAAGTAGCGATTAGATAACATAATAATAATAATGAGTTGTGCAACCGAGATTAAAATGTATAGCTAAAGCACAGCATGGTAGTGATAATACAGTAAGCATTACAAATGAAAAAAGATAATATTCACAGTTATTCAGTGTCACTGGGAGAGATGATTTTCCGAGGTTGGGAGTGAAGGCCAAGGGAGGGAGAGAGAGAGGGATTAAACTTTTTCTGAATACAAAGATCGGCTTGAAAATTTTCCTATGCCAACTGTCTCAGCTAAGCTTAGCAACTGAAGTGACGTAGCAACCTAGAAAGTTGAGCTAGTACCTTGTATAGAATCGTAAAAAATACAGAGATTTTGTCAATCTTGTGCTCCGTATCCACCACTGAATGTTCCAGTATGGAACTTCTGATTGACTTTACGACTCGTCTGCCTAATCAAGTTGGACAATGCTCTAGAAGATGACGGTGGGCTTGCATAGATGTAACTAATATTTCATTATGTAAAAGTTAAAGCCTAATGAGTTATTCACCGATCTATCGTGTTCTATAATTTTCTTATCAATTAGGATATTGTTTCCGAATTCTTCTTGTCGTGTTGTTGTGATCTTCACGGTGCTTGTTTTGTGCGTGTGTGTGTGTGTTGGTGTGTGTATGCATCAAATTACTTTTGCTGTTTTCCCTCTCTCTCTCTCTCCCTTTTCGAAAACCACTTGCAGATAATTGGTATTCTCTGTTTTGATGTAATTGTATTTCCATGTTGTTATTTTATTGTTTTCTGATAAAATAAACAACAAATATATCAATAACAATAAAAAATGACATCTTTTAGGAAAAATAAAATAGGGGAAAAAAGTATGTATATGCTACTATTCCTACTACTTAAATCAATTTTAGACTTTCCTGCTGATTGATTGATTGATTGATTGAACCGAAGTGTTTGAATTGAATTAAAAGTAGTAACTGATGCCCCCCCCCCCGTTGCCCAAGAGGGTGACCCAAGTGGTCTACTGGATAACACTTTTGCGCGTTTGAAACGATGAGTACTGGGTTCGAGCC